CCTTCAGCCTCACCATCAGATAGAGGAGCCTCCTCTTCCTCCTCATCCTCCCCTTCAGCCTCACCATCAGATAGAGGAGCCTCCTCTTCCTCCTCATCCTCACCTTCAGCCTCACCATCAGACAGAGGGGCCTCCTCATCCTCACCATGGCTGGAGACTCTTCCTCATCCTCACCTTCGGCCTCACCATGGGATAGAGGGAACCTTCCTCCTCCTCCTCCTCCTCACCACAGCCTGGAGACTCTTCTTCATCATCCTCTTCCTCACCACGAGTTGGAGCCACCTCAGCACCTTCATCCTGGGACCTCCTCCTCCTCCCCACCTTCGGCCTCACCACGGTTAGAGGGGACCTCCCTCCTCCTCCTCCTCCTCTTCCTCACCACGGGCTGAAGACTCATCTTCAGCCTCTTCATCCTCAACCACCTCCTCGTCATCCTCATCCTCACCATGGGATATGATGGGGCCTCCTCCTCCTCACCTTCGGCCTCACCATTGGATAAAGGGGCCTCCTCCTCCTCCTCACCTTCAGCCTCACCATGAGCTGGATGGGGCCTCCTCCTCCTCCTCACCTCAGCTGGAGACTTTTCTTCATCATCCTCATCCTCCCCACGGGCTGGAGCCACCTCAGCATCTTCGGCCTCACCATGGGATAGAGGGAACCTCTTCATCCTCCTCCTCCTCATCTTCGGCCTCACTGTGGGATAGAGGGGACCTCCTCTTCCTCCCCCCCCCCCCCTCCCCCCCCCCCCCCCCCCCTCCTCCCTTTGTTTCGCTTCCTCCGCACTCCCGCTCCCCCCTCCCCATCCTCCTCCTCCCCCCATCCTCTTCCGCCTTCTCCCCCCATCCTCTTCCTCCTCCTCCCCATCTCCCCTCTGCTGGTTCCTTAGGGTTCTACACTGGGGGCTGGAGGTGCGAGGGGCTGAAGCTGTCCCACTCCCCTTCTTTTCTGGCTGCCCTTCCCTACTCCCCCCCCAGGGAATGGATGTCTGAGGAGGCAGGGATGCTCATCTGGGACCTTCCTCCCATCCAAGCAAGGGCTGGGGCTGGAGGGTCCTGGGGGCCATGGCTGGAGGGTGCCAGGGGCCAGAAGTTGCTGGAGCTGTTGGCAAAGTGTTTGGCTGCCATGGCAGGGCAGAGGGAGCTCGGGGACAGAGGGCTGGGGACAGCAGTGTCCACACAGGCACCAGAGGGTCTGCTCACTGGGTGCGTTGGTCCCTGGGTCAAGGGTGCCCGATCCATTGGCCAGGTCTGGCTCAGATGAGGGGGATACTGAGGGAGGACCTGGTACCCTGGGTGGGTGCTGACTCTGATATCAGGGTCTCTCCCCTCCTCTGGCCCTTCCTCTTTTTCCTTTGGTCCTTCTCCCCGTCGCCATCACTCCCTCTTCCCCAAAACAATGTGTGCCAGTGGTGACCTGGTGTTTCAGTGGCCACAGAGAGGACACAGAGGGCACCACCAGACAGAGGCACAGTCATGGCTGTGCAGGAACCAGCAGGAGGAGGCAGCTGCCTGTGGCTTTGCCGGCAGCCCTGGTGTGCTGCAGCAGCTCCTGGTCCCGGCAGCCCGGTGGGACACAGCGTGAGGGACGCAGTGAGCACCAAGGGGACAATACGCTGGTAAAACAGGGTTTCTCCTGGCAGGGAGCAGGTGTTGAGCCCACGATTGCCTCTCGCGCCACGTAGGAGCTCCTGGGACTGCAACATGATCGGGTTTAGAGTTTATTCCTGTTTTACCTCCCCCATAGGATTCCTCTTTGTTGTAGCTGCAGAAATAATTATATTTAGGAGAACATCCTTCACCGCAGAAGGAAGCAGCAGATCCGTGCTTGCGTCTGGTGACAGCTCCCCGCCTGGCCTCGTGGGGGCTGCTGTGGAGTGCCCACTGGGAGCCCCTCACTGCATCCAGACCATGGGAGTCTTGGGTTGGCTTGGATCAGGGGAGCCAGGCATTGCTGCTCGGGCTCCATATCCTTCCCGGAGCCTTTCCCGTCCTCCCTGGGGCATGTGTGGGGCTGGGGGCTGCCAGGCCCCTGTGTGGGCACCAGCAAGCTGAGCATGGGCAAGTTCTCAAGGTGCCAATTTAATCCTCTCGACACAGAAGGACAGAGGCAGGGGAGGTCAGAGCAGGGGGGGGCCAGAGGGGGCTCGTGGGGTGTCAGTCTGGGGGTTGCTGGGGACAGTGTTCAGGAAATGGGTGACACGGGGGTGAGCTGCTGGCAGAGCAGGGAACGGGGGCTAACGTGCATGTCTCTCCCTCCCCAGCCATGGCAGTGTAGGCAGGCGGGGGGGGGTGGGTCGGTGCAGCGG